ATATGTACTCATGTCAAAACAGAATTAAATTTGAGTCATTTATTTCTCACTGAATTTTAAATATACTCCTGTTTGTGCAGCTGACAATAATTTTTTAGCAGATATACATGTGGTTTTGGTAAAGAAGCTTTCAGAGATGGTGGAAGGACACAAAAATGGACAATGTTTTGAGCGGTCTCAGAGAAGGAATGGGAAAGCATGGCCCTTTGTGCCTTTGAAAAATGTCCCCCTTTTGTTATCTTTTTTTTTTTTTGCCATTACTGTAATTTATCGAATTGTATTCTACCATTGTTTTAATTGCTATACCTGGGAGTTTTCATAAGAGTCATCTGATTATTTCCTGCAGAGTCCATAATTATAGTACTGTGTTGTAAATTCAAGTATAACCACTAATACCATAAATTATAGCATCAGAAGTGGTTGACTCTTGAAATTACAGAGCACTCTCAATAACTCCAACTTTTGTAATTTGAATGTTAACATTTTTAACTCTTTGATTACGGGAGAATAACCTGTGAGTAATACTATTCTCAGTTTTCCCATTGTAAACCAAGTCCTATCCTGTTTTGGTAAATTGGTAAGAGTTAAGAGGTATTGTGATTGTTGGTTCCTAGTTCAAGGAGAGATTCCTTCTAGATGTTCAGGGTTGGATACTATCCAAAACATGGTTTTGTGGATATATTTGGAATGGGCATGGACTATGCAGCCTGGCTCTGCTCCTTCTCCTATTAAAATAAGAAATCCTGATACCGTTGAAATGAATGGAAGTTTTACCATTGATTTAAGTGGAACCAGATTATAGGAAAAGTCACATTTATTTTAAAGATTCAGGGCCAGGCTGTCTTGGAGCCTTCTCTATCCAGCCCTGATGTTTTCTCTCTTGGTAGCAAAGGTAATGCTTTGTCAAATCACCTTCGGACCAATTATGGGAGCCACAATGTGAGGTCACAGTCTTTTTCATATGAATAGAAATGGGAGACCCATATAAAAACATACTTTGATAACGGGAAAGGGACATGCAGATCCTCATATTAGGGGCTGCAGGCACTGCCTATTATGAAGGTTGCCTAACATTTTACTTTGTAAGAACCAACACTTTATTTCATATAACTTTGCCAAACTTGAACCATGTGGGCTGAAACTTTCTCTGGTGAGTGTCTGCCTCAGGAGACAGGGAATTTGTGTGGAAAGGAGAAGAGCCTGGGAGTAAGGAAAAACAAGACCTCAAAAAGTGCTCCTGGAGGGGAACGAGGCCTAGTTGGGCCAGAAGACTGGAATTCTGAAGAGAAGTTGAAGGAGTAGAGATTGGGAGTAGGTAGGCAAGGAGAAATAAACGCAGGGACATAGAGTTGGAAGGAACCTCCTGGTCTTTGGGTTCAGTCCCTTGTAATACAGAGAACCCTGCCATATAAATCCTTATTAAGTTCCATCTTAAAACTAGCTAGGTTGTTTGCCCCAATTACTCCTACCAAAAGTGGTTCCAGAAGAGCACACTGTTAGTCTCCTCCTGTAAGTTATACTCTCCATTCTCTTGGTCAGTTTTGTAGTCCTTCTCTGAACTGGTTTCAGTTTGAATTCATGATTCTTGAACATTGGTAACCAGAACTTGTACACTGGATTGCAGACAAGATCTTACCTTCTACAATGAGATGAATACTTCCCTTTTGCTACTGGAAATGTCGTATTTGGTGCAGTTTGTGATCCAATTTGCCTGCTCATACTCCTTCTGTGATTGACTAATATGCCCAGGTCTTTTTCATCTCTATCATTTCCACCTATTAAGCACATATTTTATAGCATAAATTCTTGTTGTTGATCTCCAAATACATGACCCTGCACTTTGTACTATTGAATTTAATCTCGCTCCTATTCCTCCAGTCCTCTAAATCACCTAGTTCTTTCTGTATATAATATTCTGCTTCTATTCTGTATATATTAAGCCTCGAGAATTTGTGTCATCAAATTTCATTAACACACTCCAACTTTGTGTGTAATGGTCACTAATGAAAATATTAAGTAGGACCAGTGTCAAAGTAGATTCTTCAGGGACACCACTACCGTGGGATTAGGGACAAGGAGCAAGGGCTGGGGAAGAGAGGACTTGGGCACATTGGAGGGGACAGGGCAGAAAGGGTCACGCTTGAGGGAAATGGGCATAAGAGTCTGTTCCCATTAGAGCACATTCTCCCCTGCTCCTGGAGCGGAATCCAAGGTTCTGAGTTTCCCCATTCCTCTGATGTCAGCAGATATCTGTGAATCCCACGGGCAAATTGTGTGATGATGAGCAGAAAACAAAACAAAGATGCTCTTTGATTGAGATTGGAGTCCTCGGGGGGGGGGGGGGGGAGGTTATGTGGGGGCTGGGGGGGGGGGGGGGGAGGGAGATTATCTGATTGTGTAATTAAAAGACTGTGATAATGTATATGCACCAAGAGGCTGATATAAGATTTAATACGCAACCTTAATTCTGGAATTTCCTAACCTTTGAGTGCCTAGCTCTCCAACTGTAATAACATTATTTTAATTTAGTTTTTTGTGTGAAATCTAGATTAGATTCTCTAGACTAATTTTTTAAGCCAAGCAGAATCTCTCTCTGACTTACAATAGGTCTAATTTCTGGCAGCATTAAGTTTGCTCACATTTCACTTTTAAATCTGTCTTTTGCATTCCCTTACCTCTCTTGTACTCCCTTACTCCTCATTTTTCACCATATCTGGCTTCTCCATTTTGCATTTTTCCCTCTTTCCTATTCACTTCCCCACACCTTATCCTCTCAATTCTTAAATTCAGTTCCAATAGATAATATGCAGGTCAGAACTATGAGGATGGGAATGAAGAAGAGGGGAAAAAACTAACGAGGAGTTATGAGACTATCAGGTCTTATTGTTTAAAAGAAAACGCTGTCTGTTTATCAGAGACTTTCACAATGTTAACCAGGATGCATTTTTAAATTTGAAGATATGCTTTCAATGTTTTGATAAAGTGACTGTTTGGTAAGAGTTTTGGGGAAAGTTTCTTCCAAACTCTTTAAAGCAAGTGGTCTGAGACACTTGTGAATAAATCCTGCATATGCCACCATAAACCTGGTTTAGCCTATCATTGTCTATCATCATCATCACCCTGACATTTTCTTGGCTAAGTGACAATGCAATGCCCCTTTCCCTGCATGTAAATCATAGAATAATAGGACTGGAAGGGACCTCAAGAGGTCATCGAGTCCAGCCCCCCGCCCTCAAGGCAGGACCAAGCTCCGTCTACACCATCCCTGACAGATGTCTATCCAACCTGTTCTTAAATATCTCCAGAGAGGGAGATTCCACCACCTCCCTTGGCAATTTATTCCAATATTTGACCACTCTGACAGTTAGGAATTTTTTCCTAATGTCCAATCTAAACCTCCCCTGAGAGAGTCAGCTTCATCACTATTCTGGCCAAAATATCAAATGTCAAGGTGTAGGTGATGATTCTCCAGGAGGGTAATTTGGTGCCCTCTGTGATTGAGGGCTTTTTAGGCCATGTCTAGACTACGCGGGTTTTCCGGGATACCAGAGGTATCCTGGAAAAACTCTGCCATGTTCAGGGAACGCATTTGCTCTTCTGCTTTTTTTTTTTTTTTTTTTTTTTTGGGGGGGGGGGGAGAGCCAAAACACCTTTTTCTGA